TCAGCAGCCTGATATGAGGTTATTGATACTACCGAGAGCAACCAATTGGTGCTTTGTGCTCAAGGACGATATTTTTTTGCAATTTCTCGGATAACTTTATTGCGATAGCCACCATAATAGAGAAGCCACGCTACTTGATGGTTAGAAGAGAGACTCATGAATCTTTGTTCTACCCGCCTGGTTTTCATGATCTGAAGAATTTCTGGTCTTTTCAAGCGGAATGATTCCAGATCGTATTTCACATGTCCTCCATATGGCCAACTAAATACACCGTATCTTAAACTTTTTATGGTTTTCATTGTTGGTGAATCAGTCTACTAGGTGTTCCGAGCTGTCTATAGAATGACTCCGTATAGAAGATTGAGAACTTCGAGTGTTGCCTCGACTTTGATTGAGTCCTGCAATGGAATACACTGTTGCAGTCTCATCAGTTGTCTGTTGTGAGAATCCTGAGATTGCTGTTCCTTTTAATTGACTTAATACATCTCGGACAATGTGATCGACTAGCTGTATTGAGATGTCTTTATTAGGGGGGGGAGATAGATATGCATGTGATCACGTCTTTTAAAGGTTCTGCTCCTATCTCGACTGGGTTATCTGATGCTGCCTTCTCTATCCACTCATCTACATTATCTCTCAGGGAATTGAGACGAAGATGAGGGAAGATGTTTTGTCTGTTTAGACTGGGCCTTAGAACTATTTTTGGTTCAACAGGGTTGTCCAAATCTTGCTGATGCACGTATGCCTCCTCACAACTCGCATCAAGCTGCCGTAAGAGTCGATCCTCAGTGTCGACTCTTAAGAGTTGGGTTGACTGGTAATTTTTATTTTCCATTTTGTCTGGAATTATGTTAATGTTTTTTTGGTGTTGTGTCACAACACCGTCATGTGTCTCGATAACAAGTCTTACGACTCAAGAGTGTATATAAACAACTTACCCACTTGCATACGTCATCATTGGCCCCCACCAGAGCGTATCCATACCTCGTGCCTGAGATGCCCGACTAAACTACAATTATGATAGGTCTACTAACTGCTAAACCATACAAACCATACAATATTCTGTGCCATTAGATTACCCAGTGCTGTAGAGGATTTGGAAATAGAAAATTTATCCAGTGACAGTTTCATTTGGCCCAGCTTTTACTTATGCCTCTCATGCAGGTAGATTAAGAAATTAAATTAGAGTCATTCTTACCAAATATAGCCCGGTACAATGTGAGGTCCTTGAAGAAACCCTTCCCTTTCAGTCCTGTCCCACTTAGGTTATAACCTGCCGCAACCTCGTTGGCTAGAACCTCTCCCAAAATCCTGCGGGTTTCATGGCCCATATCATGGCTTCCAAATACACTTAAGTATTTCACCTGTAAAACAAACAAATTGTAAATTAGAGGCATAATCCAGGTAATCAATTACCTTTGGGAAATCTCTACACTAATTTTACTATCAGAAATATATATTGATGCAAACTAGAAGGCAGTTACTAAAAGTAGTTTGATAAAATAACGAGGGTGATTTATAACATGGACTGCAGAGTCCACCCTTCAAATACTTCATGTAAATATGGCGGGCCACAGGTTTCTCCTTATACGTCAGAATTCAATAAATCATCATTGACCAGTGTTGCCTTACGTGAATAAAGCAGACAATAGGCGTAAAACTGTCTGAAACTTACCACCTGATATTCAAATGCCTTTGCTTTGAGTTTCCTCTCGAAGACGAGGAGACCCTCCTTTAATTGTATATGGAATGTACCTTCTGGAAGCACTTCCACCCCATCATCAACATTCTGATCCTCACGGAGCTGCCTTCGTTCATGGCTTAGTTTGGCAACAACTTTCCTTAACAATCGTTGTTCGGATTTTATTGCTTCCAATTCTTGGAATATTTTGCCTGGAAATAGATGGATGACTTCACTCATTAATGCCATATGTGGCGAAATGGATGGGGTACCCTAAAAGTTTGTACAGTGTGGTTCAGTTCTTTGTTGGGGCACAAGGGGGCAGCACCGGACGGTTCATGGTGGGGAAAACGCTCGCGCACGGGCAGTCGACAAGGGGCCGTTTGTCTGCCGAAATAAAGAGTGAGGAACGTCTTTATTTTCGGTTCCATTTCGTTTACAAATTTCCCGTTTTGTCTATTTCAGCATCCCACCGTAACATTTTGGGTGCTCGTCCGTTAAAAAATCCCCCCATTAAAAAATGTCTGCGACATGTGTCCCCCAAGTCGATAAGCTGAAACAAATGGGTTAACACCCAATTTACTCGTGACAGGTGCTACATCAGAGACATGGTGTACTTACCACCCAAGAGTTTTGAGGATCCTGTACCCTTCTCCACTGGACGGCCGAGATAGTCAAAGGAGCAACCAACTCCTCCGACAGGAATCTACACAACACCGTCATGTGTCTCGATAACAAGTCTTACGACTCAAGTGTGTATAGAAACAACTTACCCACTTGCATACGTCATCATTGGCCCCCACCTGAGCGTATACATACCTCGTGCCTGAGATGCCCGACTAAACTACAATTATGATAGGCCTACTAACTGCTAAACTCGACCACCTGGAATACATATACACATACATCGACGGATGACCAATGCCTCACCTATTCGTCTACGACACCATCTCTCAAGCGACACCAGCGTAGCGTAGTGCCCCAAAGCAGGATGATCCATCCAAACAAATTCACCGACCAAAAAAGGCTTGTGGCTGCGGCTGGTACAATGGATTCCCCAACTGATCATACATGAACATCTGCCAAGGTTGCCGTTGACGCTGTGACCTTCCTTCCACCTCGTCCTGGCTTGACCCATCTCCTGACGTGGCCGTACCACTGGACCCCTGTCCTGCAGGGCTGAGCTGGTCGCTGGATGATCCAGAAGATGGCTGGAACGGTTCGGCTTCGAATTTCAGATCAGACCGCCTGTCCTCGCTTGACCCCTCCGCCATGGCTCCGGCCTGTCCATCATCATGCTCACTCAAATTCTCGCTTATGGTCCTCACCCTCTTATCATTCAAACTATCAACCGGTTTCGGCTGCATCATTATG